TAATTTCTTTAAAAATGATTTTGCAAGGTACATAAGATGGTATTGTAATATTTGTATTAGAAAAAGAAAATTAGAATGGTTTAAAAGTTAATAAGAGATTAAAGTGTTGAAATGTTTAGTAATGATTGATTTTAAAATTTAATAAAATATTAAAGGGAATGTTTAGAATATTGAGTTTTAATTAAAGAGTTTAATATGACTATGGTATTGATGTTATTATAAAATTATTATTGTAGCATTTGTCTTTGGAAAAGGCAATGGGAATGTTATAAGATTCAATATTTAGATCTATTATTTAACTATGTATTTAATCATTTTGGACTTATTATTTTTCTTTTATTAAAAAAAAAATTAGTAGATAGAATGTACCAAGCAGAATCAGATTGGGTATTAGGTGTTATTTTAAATGTTAATCTAATTAATTTAGGGGGAAGATAGAAAGGCATCATACTCTGATTAGTGATTTCAGGAGAAATTCTTTTTTTATTATAAGGAATGAGACAAAGGGGTAATAAAGAATGGACAAAAGATACAAATATAATGACTCAAATTAAGATGGATTAAATAAGATAGAATTAAGAAGAGTGAAATCTGTGGAGAAGCTAATATAGAAGACATAGAATGGTAAATAAAATAGGTAATGACATGTAAGATGAGCATGAATATAATTGAAGTCCATGTAGAGAGAGGTACCTGGGGCCAAGTTACTTTCCTAAAAGATTTTTTATATGTTTGTGTGTTGTGTGTTTATGTTTCTGGGAGAATTAATAAAACCTTGCAGAAATATAGAATGAGAATAATGGTAACCAAGTCAGAAAGAAATAGATGAAATAATAATAGTGAAATTGAATAAGAGTAAAGAGAAGTAAAGAGAAACTGGATAAGAGGTATTTGTATGCTCATATGGAAATGGTTTAAAATAGAATTATATTGTATAAAATAAGGTTTTATTTGACTTGTAAAATTTATAATGGAAAAAGGTTTAAGTATGTAATGGTTAATGATGATTTGTTTGTCTTTAAAATTAATAAAATTTGTTTTAAAAAAAAAAGAAATCGCTGCCCAGCTCCCTTTTCCTGCCGCTCAGCGGCCTCCGCTCGCACTGCCCGCCCGCCCGGGCTCCGCTCAGGTATCCGGCTGGGGCTGTCAGGAGTTGCTACCGCCGGCGCGGCTCCGTGCGGCTCCAGTCCCACGTTGCCTCGGGAAGGGAAAGGCAAAACCAGGAGCCGCTGCTGCCGTTGCAAAGCGCCACCGCGGCTCTTCCTTTTTGCCTTTCCCTTCCTGAGGCAATGCGGGACTGGAGCCACGCAGAGCTGCACCAGCGGTAGCAACTCCTGACTCGGGGCCTCCGAGGGGAGGGGAAGGAGAAGAAGGGGGGGAGGGGGGGCAATTCCCCAAAAAATCGGAATTCCGATTTTAATCAGAAGAATATCATGTCTGTAGTAAAAAAAATTGAATTCCACCACTGGGGCAATTGGTCAGCACAGACTTTTAAGCAAGGAGTTATCTTGACTGCCCCTAGTGCTTTTCCTGGCTTTTGTCTGTGAAATAGATCTTGCATTTCTTTTTCTGTGATCACCAGGGGTTGTGAACCCAATGGGTTGGGGTCAGTTATAGGAGGCTTGGCTGTTGTTGGTGTGTCTGAGATGGGGTATTGGAGATAGGTGACTGTAGTTTCCTTTCAAACCTGCAGTAAACACATTCAGGTCACCTGCTAGTTGTTGATTTCCTTCTGCCTGGGAAGGACGTTTACCGTAGCCTGTGATGGCTTAAAGAGTTTTCCACGTGTTTACTGGTTCATTTGTTGAGAACCGATTCCTTAACTTTTCAGAGTAGCTTCTTTTTGCTGCTCTGATCCCGCTTGTTAATATGTTTCTGGCCTGATTGTACAGCATTCTGTCACCTTTTTTGCTTAAGTTTAGCTGTGAACCAAGGTTTATTGTTACTGTATATTTGCAGGTTCCTGGTCGAAACACATATAAGGTGACATATGATGTTACAGTATCCGTGAGCTCATCTAGGTCTGCAGAGGTATCTTCGAAAACATTCCAATCAGTGCAATCAAGGCAAGCCTGTAGCTTTAGATTTGCCTCCTCAGTCAAGTCCTCACTGATTTAATTGTTGGTTTCATGGTTTTAAGTCTTTGTAAGGAGATACAAGGTGAATCATGCAGTGATCAGAGTGTCCCACAGCTGCTCGTGGTAACAACCTATAAGCATCTTTTAGTGTTGTGTAGTGATGGGCTAAAGTACTTTTGCCTCTTGGCATACTGGAAATACTTTGGAAGCTCTTTCCTTAAATTTGCTTGATTGAAATCTCCTAAAATGATGGGAAGAGAATCTGGGTGTTTGGCTTCAGCCTCCACAATCTGGTCAGCTAGCAAAACCGCATAGAGTTTGTAATGCCTTGTTTACACAAGCTTGTGGAGGAACATACACAGCTATTAGGAGAAATGAAGAGAACTCTCATGAAGAATAAAATGGTTTGCAGTTGATATGTAAAGACTCTAGGTTTTCATCACAGAATTTATATATTATAGTTATAGCCTGAGACCAGCTGTTGATATATAAACATAAGCCTCCACCTTTCTTTTTACCAGATGTGTTTGCAATCCTGTCTGCTCTAAATATCTGAAATCCTGGGATATTTATGCTGCGGTCATCAATTTCCTCATGTAGTCAGGATTCAGTGAAGCAGAGAGCTGCTTGTAGAAATCAGAATTGCATCTATTTAAAAGGAGTATTTCATCCATCTTATTAGCAAGTAAGCATAGTCAGAAAGCTTGGAGAGGGGTTCCCCCCCCCATTCCTTAGTCTATTCAAAATTCCCACTCTTTTACCTCATCTTCTTTTCCGCCGCTTCTTTCCTTTGTTTGTTGTCATCCAGGGGAATTTGTTTCCTCTTGTGTTAGAATCTCCTCCACATTTGCAAAGACAGGGTGGGACACAGAAAGCTGCTCCTTAAAGAAACATTGCCTAATTCTTAGCAGATGGTCTTGTGAGAATGAAATTCATAGTGAATCACAGAGAATAATAAAAAATAAATAAACCATTAGAGAGCATTTACCCAGGCAGTTGTCGGTGGCGCCATCTTGGCAGTAAGGGAGTAATGAAGGGAGAATGCATCTCACAATAGTACAACTTTGTTCCAATTATTCAAATTCAGGGAGAAACAAACTCTGATTACTACTAAGTTATAGCTGTAATTTCATACAATCCATAGGTCTATTTATACATGGATACAATTAGGTTGTGCAGCACTTCAAATTCCATCTAGAAATGACGCTTTGGTGAGCTCAGGAGCTTGATATACCAGTTCTCAATAATTTAGATCAGTGTTTCTCTAGCAACTTTAAAATATGTTGATTTCAATTTCCCCAGCCAGAATCTGGGAGTTAAAGTCCACATATGTTAAGGATGCAATGATACTTTTTCCTGTGAGTCCAGCTATCTGTAAATAGCTGTCAATAACCACATAATGATACAAAAGAATCAAAAAATGTTTTAAATAATTGCATGCAAGTCTTAAATTCATTCACTTATGCCATCTATAATATACTTTTCAGCTTGAACTTGACATAATGGGACAGTCCTAAATAATTAGAAACTATTTATACAATAACTTAGAGGTTTTTCTTCAATTTTGTTTCCCTCAGTCTGTGGATATGATCTGATGTCATACAATGTGTCCTACTAATATCCATTTATAGATGTACAGGTAACCAAAGTGCAAAAATTAACATCAATTATTTGCCTCTTCCCACTCATACATAAATAAAGCATCCTGTCCAGTGTACTTGTCAACATTTTATTTAATGATACCAGAATGTATTGCATTTGATAGAACATGGTATTGGTGTTAATAGCATAGAAAACCCATATAATTGTACATCTTATAAAACTATTTAAAAAGGAGTGCTGTAAAATGGCCCCTTTCTACAATTACACGCCCCACTATCTTGTGGAATTTGCTTATACATTTTCTATTAATGTCATGGTAAAGGTCTTATGTTCCCTTCTTTAGTAACTTTTTATCCTAATTTGTTTATTATTTAACTTAATATATTTTATTGACAAAGCCAATATTGGAGAGTAAATTGAAAATCACTTCAAAATACTTGAGTTAGGTGGACTGACCATGTTAAGTTACCCAGGTGCAATCAACAGCTTCATGCACATTTTTATAATTCATTTTTATTTCTTTTTTCCTAAAATATTTAAAAGACAAACACACATTTTAAATATCCAATGCAAAGCTGAACAATTGATCAACAGCTTCATACAGTAGAAGCATGACTGATGCAAAATTTATTGCATGGGTCATTCTTCTTTGCAGTGGAAAAGCAGAGCTTCATTGACATCCATCCTATATTCACGTGATTTTGTTGAATTTACTGACAAATTTTTTTTAATTTCCCTGCTGCCATTTTGTTCCAGTGTTTAAATCTTGTGATTTATTGCTTTTGTTAAAATAGAGCAGCCCAACACCATAGTTCTAATCTTTAAGAGTTCTAATTCTTCTCTACAATTAAACACAGAAGACTCTTAAAGCATTTGCTAATACAGGTGAAACTCAAAAAATTAGAATATCGTGCAAAAGTTCATTTATTTCAGTAATGCAACTTAAAAGGTGAACCTAATATATGAAATAGACTCATTACATGCAAAGCAAGATAGTTCAAGCTGTGATGTGTCATAATTGCGATGATTATGGCTTACAGCTCATGAAAACCCCAAATCCACAATCTCAGAAAATTAGAATATTACATGCAATCAATAAAACAAGGATTGTACATAGAACAATATCGGACCTCTGAAAAGTATAAGCATGCATATGTACTCAGTACTTGGTTTGGGCCCCTTTTGCAGCAATTACTGCTTCAATGCGACGTGGCATGGAACCTATCAGCCTGTGGCACTGCTGAGGTATTATGGAAGACCAGGATGCTTCAATAGCGGCCATTCTGCATTGTTCGGTCTCATATCTCTCATCTTTCTCTTGGCAATGCCCCATAGATTCTCTATGGGGTTCAGGTCAGGCGAGTTTGCTGGCCAATCAAGCACAGTAATCCCATGGTCATTGAATGAGGTTTTGGTGCTTTTGGCAGTGTGGGCAGGTGCCAAGTCCTGCTGGAAAATGAAGTCAGCATCCCCATAAAGCTCGTCTGCGGAAGGAAGCATGAAGTGCTCCAAAATCTCCTGGTAGACAGCTGCGTTGACCCTGGACTTAATGAAGCACAGTGGACCAACACCAGCAGATGACATGGCTCCCCAAATCAACACAGACTGTGGAAACTCACACTGGACTTCAAGCATCTTGCAGTGTGTGCCTCTCCATTCTTCCTCCAGACTTTGGGTCCTTGGTTTCCAAATGAGATGCAAAAGTTGCTCTCATCAGAAAAGAGGACTTTGGACCACTGAGCAACAGACCAGTTCTGTTTTTCTTTAGGCCAGGTAAGATGCTTCTGACGTTTTTTGTTCAGGAGCAGCTTGACCAAGAGGAATGTGACATTTGAAGCCCATGTCCAGGATCCGTCTGTGTGTGGTGGCTCTTGATGCACTGACTCCAGCCTCAGTCCACTCCTTGTGAAAGTCCCCAACACTTTTGAATGGCCTTTTCCTGACAATCCTCTCCAGGCTGCGGTCATCCCTGCTGCTTGTGCACCTTTTTCTTCCACACTTTTCCCTTCCACATAACTTTCTATTAATGTGCTTTAATACAGCACTTTGGGAACACCCAACTTCTTTTGCAATTACCTTTTGAGGCTTTCCCTCCTTATGGAGGGTGTCAAGGATGGTTTTCTGCACAACTGTCAGGTCAGCGATCTTTCCCATGATTGTGATTCCTACTGAACCAGATTGAGAGACCATTTAAAGGCTCAGGAACCCTTTGCAGGTGTTATGGCTTAATTAGCTGATTCGAGTGGGACACTTTGAGCCTAGAATATTGAATCTTTTCACAATATTCTAATTTTCTAGATTGTGGATTTGGGGTTTTCATGAGCTGTAAGCCATACTCATCTCAATTATGACAAATCACAGCTTGAACTACCTTGCTTTGCATGTAATGAGTCTATCTCATATATTAGGTTCACCTTTTAAGTTGCATTACTGAAATAAACGAACTTTTGCACAATATTCTAATTTTTCGAGTTTCACCTGTATAGTCATAATCTAAGCAGTAGTGTTAATAACCCTATTTTATTTTGCTGTGGAGGTGGCAACACAAGCAGAATGGGAATACTTCCAGAAAGCTAGGAGCTGCCTAAATGCACTTTAAAATGATAACACTTTATCATTTAGGAAAAAGGGAAGTAAAAGTTAATTAATTACCAGTATAATTCAATTCTTAAGGAAGCATAAGATTTTAATGCCAATGCACCAAATAGGGATTTTTTTAAAAATCCAGATTTTCAAATAATTTATCTTCTTTTTTTTCAGAATTTATTCCCATTAACTGTTAATATAGCATACCACCAGAATGTAACAATCCAGGGCAAAAGGCATGATTTTAATGCAAGTTTGTATCTTTGTATCAAAACTTCAAAACTGTGGGTTGAACAATGGAGTCTTTTGGTGCTCTCTGAGCTTGTTAGCAGACATTTCATTGCCCAACTAGATAACATTAGTACTAGTCTGTGGAGGGAAGGTTTTGCTCCCTATTTATATACTGTAACTTGCCCTGTATTTCCCTGTATCTCCATTACTGGCAGGGAAAGCTACTGCATATAATCAGGGAACAACTCCCGCCTCCAACATTAATGATGTTACCTAGTGGAAATGATGCTACCTACTAAAATATCTGCAAGCAAAAATGTTTAAAGAGCAGCCAGGATCCCATTGTCCTACTTCCTGTGTAAATAATTTTGCATGTATTGTACACTTATTTGCCTGTGGTCTCTCAGTAGACCTTGATGATCTATGTGTTTTCCACTTTAACTATAAATCACAATGGCTAATCTAAAGATGTAAGACAGTACAATAAGAAAATTGGCAAGCACAAGTATTGCAGGCAAAAATGTGCCAAAAATGCCATAAAATCAAAGAAATTGCAATGTAGAAAATGTCCTGAACAAATAAAAACCATTTGCATAAAACTATTAAGACAGGAAAGTGATGAAGCTCCATTAACTCAGAAAATCTGATGTCAGGTTTTACCACATAGTTTTGTTTCTCAAATAATGTTCAAGCTTAGGACATTTTCTTCACCTCAAATCATGCAGTCCAAATATTATAAATATTGAAAAAAATACACACACGTGAATCATATTAATTTGCTTTTGAAAATGTTCTATCTTTTTTCCAGAACATTCACATCTCTGAAAAAATCTGAATATGTCACTATGGTGGGATGTATATTTAAAAAAATAATTAAAATGCATTCTAAGGCACCTTGCATTTTTAATATAAATGTCATAACAAAAAAATCTTAATTTTATACCCTGTTGTGTCTTAATTAACACAAGGACAAATTAATTTCCACATTATTATTTTTTTAAAGTATGCACGGGGGTTTCAGATTATTTCTATGATATATGCACACTAACAGCAGTTCGGCTCATAAAAGTTTTTAAATTCAGCTAAGTTACAGTTCATCATGTCCCTGTGGCTCCTGGTCTTTCAGTCTGAATTCTTCATAAGTAATCTTGCCATCTCCATTTCGGTCCTGATTGTTGAACATATTTTTCACAATTGTTTCAGAATTGTAACCAGGGGCTAGCTTTCCTTTGCCAGAATTGACTTGATCATGGATATATTTATTGAACTAGAGTTTAAAAGATAAATAAGAATAGGAAATAAAATGAGTTTCATTATTGTAATTTAAAAGCTGCATATATCACAATGCATTTCCATAACTTCTGCATTTAGTACTAAGACACTGTAATAATGCTGGTTTAGTCATGTAAATTCATTTATCATATTTAGGGGCATACAATATGATGTATTATAATTATACATTATACTATACTAATACTATAAAACAAAATCTATATTGTAGTTTGAGAAGATTAAAAAACCTGTACAGAACATGGTATATCTAACATTTTGTTGCTACCTGTTGTGGCCCGACAGCAGCCAGCAGAGCTGGCAGCAGATTCAGACAGTGAGGAGGTTGGGGAGGAACATGGGCCAGTCCTGGAGTCTGGGGAAGACTCTGACGAGTGCTCTGCATCAGAGACAGAGAGGGGGCCAGGGCTGTCTGACAATTATCGGCTGCCTTCAGAGTCAGACATCAGTGAGGCAGAAGCCTGTTCCCAGTGTACACATGTGCAGAGTTGCCAGATGAAGGGAACAGCTGAGGAACAAGGGCCGACTTGGAAGTAAAGCTACAGGTGGACAGTGAATGGCCGCTCCCCTAGAGAATAAAAGAGGAGTGAAAGGGGAGTGAGGCTTTGCAGAAGACAATTAGTTCCTTCTGGCATGCTTGTGAAGTATTGCGGCGTCTGAAAGATATTGGCCTGGCCACGCTCCAAGCTTGATAAAGGTTTGTATTTGGAAACTATCTTTAAAGACTGTTGGCTGGGACTTTGTTGGAGAGGAAATTTATTGTAAATCAAATAGAGGAGGTTTAACAGGACGAGGACTCGGTTTTGTGCTATTGGTGAAGCCTAGGTCAGAACAATACCCATCAAAGAAAATCCTTATAAACCAAAATAACTTCTTACTTCTTCTAGAAGAACTTCTCCATTGTTATCCTTGTCTATTTCTTCAAAGAGGTTTGGCGATACTTCATCATGCCACACAAACATATAGCCTTCTGGTAAACCAGATACTAAATCAAGCAGCTCGATGTCAAACAGTAATACAGCACTTCCTGGAACTTCTCCTTCTGCAACATTAAATGACAAAAATTAAATCTGAATATTTGCTTTTTGGGAATGTTTTTGTTTTGCTCTATATTTTCAGTGGAAGTAGGCAATTTTCCAACCAAGTAATTTTTAAAAATTTCCTGCCAAGTAATTCAATAATGTCACTGGGAAGCAGATCTGAAAATGATCTATTTTGAGGGTTTCATAGATAATGAACATGAAAAATAAGTTTTCCAAAAGCTTCATGAAAGGGAAATGATCAAGGATGATGATATGGATGTTGCTATCCCTAAGGTAGAGAGGTTGGGAGTGGGGGACAGAAATTCACCCCCAGCAAAATAAGCAAGTTGTGCTATAGATATTATTTCAGCAAAGAATGATAGAATGCAAAAATTAGATCTATTGAGTGAATAATGGATGTTATTATTATTTTCTTTCTAAAGAAAATTATGTGATTATTTTTAGGCTTAAGTCTTAATGCAAAATCATTTGTTCACAGACAATGCTTATCTTGTTGCTTTATGACATGAACTATATAGCTCAACATTCTAAGGCAGGGGTCGCCAAACTTTTGGACCTCAGGGACCACCAAACTCATAATTTTAAATCCCAGGGACCACTAACTGGTTCTGTGGGCGTGGCCTAATTTGTGGGTGTGGCTTGGTGGTTGTGTGACTGGCTGGGCATGGCTTGTATGTAAATATTATAAATATTTATATAAATATTGATATTTTTTTTTATAAAAAAGAGCAACCTTTACCCAAAATCAGGCAAAGCAGGCAGGCAGATTGAGCTGCTCACAGAATCACAAATTCATTCAGAGATCTATCTGCCATTGGCTAGCTCAGTCTGTCACACAAAATTTGCTTGCAAGCAAACTCACAAAATTAACTCACAACACACCATTTATGTAAATATTGATTTTTTTTAATAAAAAAGAGCAACTTTTACCCAAAATCAGGCAAAGCAGGTAGGCAGATTGAGTTGCTCACAGAATCATTCAATGATCTATCTATCTGCCATCGGCTACCTGAGCCTGTCATATAAAATTTGCTTGTCATGAGTCTGCACTGAATAATAGAACCTTCAGTCCTAAGGGAGGTTCGGCTGTGCTTAAAAGCAGAGTCGAAGATCTAAAGACTAGCTAGAAAGCAAGAAATCCAACAATTTCCTGCTTCCTAGCTAATCTAAATCTCCCAGCACATCAGAACAGCTGATGGTCGGAAAAAGGAAAAATAGCAACTTAACAGGCAAGTTTGCCAGGTAAGGAGTGAGTGGACGGGAAAGGTTCCCGCTGGCCATGTGGGCAGCACAGCCTTTTGTTTCTGCACAGCCTGGATTAATTGCTTTAGGGGAATGCTCTGGGGGTGAGATTTCTCTGTGGCCCACCAAAATTTTCTCGTGGCCCACCAGTGGGCTGCGGCCCACCAGTTGGCAATGGCTGTTCTAAGGATTCATCACATAACATGTACAAGGCAATTCTACTGGTGGACAATATAATTTCTATGCTAATTTTTAAGTTAAATTGAAGTTCAAGTCTTATTTAATGAGTAAGCTTCAACATTATTTGTTATACAGGTCCAAATAATTTTGTTGTATCATCCATTCATTTCAATTTATTCCACTGAGAGCAGAATATAGGAAATGAATCATGTTGGAACTGCCTGTGGATCTTTAAGTATAATTTCACAAAGTACATGTAGAAGCAACTATACACCACTACAGGTGAATTCAGAAGAAATTTGCGTCAACTCACATTACTTTCTTCCCTTCAGTACACTTGAGTATTTAAAGGACTTTGAAAGTTATATACTCACCAACTCCAGCTTCTCCATAACCAAAGTGAGGGGGAATAATAACTGTTCTTTTTTCTCCCACACACATCTCTCTAAGACCTATATCCATCCCCAGTACAACTTGTCCAGAACCTAGAACTATATTATATGTTTTTCCAAGGCTAACCCTGAAAAACAAAAATATTCACAAAAATAGTAAGCAACTCATCCAGCTTTCTAGCTTTTTTCTACTCTTCCTATTTACATGCAATGAACATTACTGATAGCCTGTTTCTAAGAAATTCAATGTAAAATTAGTTATATAGAAATCTAATAATCTAAGAGTTCACAAGTTCTTCAGGTGTCCTTAACATTTTGAGGCTAAGATTTAGATTGAAATGGAAAACTTATCCATTTGTACAATGTGAAACACAAAACTATTGCAGAACTTCATTTTACAAGAACATTCTATGTTCTTATAAAATGTAAAACTTCATTTTACAAGAACATCACTCCTCAGCATGTTTTCCTCTATTCCTACATTTTACCATACTTTATCATAGCATACTGGCACAGAACAATACGTAGCACTGGACTGCAACTATCTATCATTTTTATCTTCTAAGAAAACATAAGAACAATTGAAGCACAGAGTCTTTTTTGAAAATGGAGAAAATGGAAATATTTTGCTTTGTAGCATGTCAGCTTTTCATTTTTTTTTATTTTTTTTGTAAATTTTATTTGAGTTTTCACAAAAAGAAAAGAAATACAAATAAAACATCTTTTTTGAAAGCAGCATAATCCTGGGTT